AGCATGAAATTCTTAGAATTTTTGCAGAATGTTTTAAACTGTGCGAGCAAGGTGGAAACAATACAAAAAATGTTGTCACAAAGCGGATTAAATTATAAAAATATTTGTGGCAGCACAAACTTTCTGATGACTATTTCAGAAAGCTGCTATATTATGTAGTCAGCTGTAAAAAGTTGGAAGTAATTGCTTTTCAAATAAATAAATTATCCCAAGTCTTGCAACAGTCACATATTCGAAGATCTTATGGGTTTTAAGATCTTATGGATTCGAAGATCTTATGGGTTATCGTATGAGTCCCCTTTTAATACGATTGTTCGAGTCTTTAATACGATTGTATTGTAGTCTTTAATACGTTCCTGTTCTCCTTTTTTGTTATTCTGTATATTCTTTAATAAAAGCACACGGCTCATAATTTACGAAATCATGTGATAGTTTAAATAAAACAAGTATGAAAGTTTCAGATTTTATTGGTCATCTAAAAGGGTTTGTTAAGGTTTGTTTACGCCCACGCAGAGCTCGCATTCTACCAGTTTGCTATTGGAATTACACTATTTTTTTGTCTTTTTTGCTTTATTATTCAGCATCCTTTTCTTCCCACTTACGAAATATACAGTTCAACACAAAATCACTAAAACTTTAAATTCAGCATAGAAGCATTTATTTAAAATTTCCAATGCAGTGTTAAGTGTTGGCATATATTTTTTTTCTATTTTTATGTCTTTTCTCAGTTTGTCATTATGAGTGTTCAATATTCTTAGTTAGATGGCTTAGAAAACTTGTTTGCTTTCTGTTATTAGCGTTTTGAGTATCAAATTTATTTATTAAATACCACGTTCTTCGCAGATATGTCATATAAAATACAATTCAACAGCAAAATCACAAAATATTTAAAAACAACATATCTTTAGAATTTCAGACAGACATTCGCTGGAGATAAAAATGTTTCATTCCGTGCAGTTTTGTCGCTGCCCTCTTTCAGATCGTTGGGGTCGTTAAACAAAAAATTGAGATTTTGCAAAATATGAAATAAATAATAACAAATATTATTATATTTTTACTACTTAAATCAATCCAATTCACAAATTAAAAAAATCTGAAAGGTTTCAGATTTTAAATTACGTCCAAAAAAGCATTTCTTTAATGTTTTGTGTGTTACCTTCATTTATTAAATATCATGTTCTTCGCACTTAAACCAAAAAATTCAGTTCAACACTATCGCAAAATAATTTTAAAATGAGCATATCTTTAGAATTTTCGCGCACTGGAGCTAAAAGGGTCCCCCCCCCGTAGACTGTTACCATTGTTAGCTTTGAAATCATTGAGTTTAATTTAGAAGTCAAACAACAAAAATCAGCGTTATATTTTCAAATTTTACCAGGACTAGTTTCGGTGGTTTTACTGAACCATCATCGTCAGCTGAAAAAGAGCCAATGAACGAAGTAAGATATAATGACAATATAAGATAAGAAAGCCTGGACAGGAAATAGGGTACTGGCGCTATATGTTGATGAAATCAGAACTAAAACATAATTTCTTTAAAGGCAGAAGATGGATTGGAATGATGGATTGGATGGCAAAGATGGATTTTTGTTGTTTGACTTCTAAATTAATATTTGTTCCGCGTGTTATTGGATCTTAATGAGTTTGTTAATCAAAATTTCGTTACAAAATATGAAATAGATAATAAAACGAATTCCAAATTTGGGCTTCCAGATGCCCATATTAGGGTGTAAATGTACGTTATTCAAAACTGGATGGCTCTAGGTACCGTTGTTTTATCACAATGCGAGAAACATACATACATCTATGCAGATTCCTCATCATTTAATTTCTTTAAATATAATACAGGACGATAATATTTGGTGGCAACAATTTGAAAAGTGAATCGGACATTTATAATGAGCCAACGCAAAATGCCAAAACGAAAATAATAGTCCTTCAGGGCTAATTGTCGCTTTGGACTAAAAAACAAACAGTCCTAAGAATTGTGTCTATTTCTCTGAAGTCACTTAGTTTGCTATTGAACAACACGTAGATTCAGTCTGAAAGATAAATACCTTATTTTGCCGAATGGCTACAGACTCGAATGAAAAGTGAAAAGACTCATTTATAATATACTAACAAATTATTAATAGCCCTTTTGAGCTAATAATCAAAAATAATACAATATGTTATGAAATATCATTCATATAATACAATATCTTATCTTACAAACAATATTTTATGAAATATCACTCAGATAAAACAATATGTTATGAAATATCATTCAGATACGGTAGCTGAAACTTTATATCTCGAAAAAAAAAACGAATATTACTCTCTCAGTGCCCTTGTTTTTAAGAAACATCTATAAATTCTTAAATATCGTGTTCTAGTATGTTATGTTAATCTGTAGTAAGTAAAGAAAATCTGTACATCGGGGAAAGAAGTATACGTTTTTTTAATCCCTTTCTAAGTTTATTTACATTATATTTCAGTGTACAATAACTTATTCGATGATTTAGCCTTGCCTTTTAATTTTAAAAAATATTGAAATAGTTCTTGGAATTTGATTATGAAACTTCATCTTAAAATTCCTTCTATAGTTTACATATAACAGAATTTAAATATTTGATCAAATTTGCAATTTCGTTTTCACTGTAAATGTTGTTTTACTGCTGAGTCCTTAATGCAAAGGAGAAACAAACGTTTAGGCGTTTCAAAATTTATTTATTGAAAATATTTTAATATAACGTTTTACACACAAAAATGCAAATTAATAATGCTAATAATTTATTGCATAATTAAATTTTCCTCCAAATGTTATAACTAAATTACTATACTTCAATTAAAGTTTAAATATTAATAATATGTACGATATATTCTTTTCAGGATGGGAGTGTCTAATAAATTCACTTTGTTATTGAAATTGCGTTAAGATAATACAAAGTTAATACCACCAGTGCAAAGCGTTATTAGTGTATAAAATATAAAATTTTATATTCAAAAATCAGGTTTAAGTTAGCGTAAATCTTAAAACTATGAAATAATCAGTTCAGTTACCGAATTAAAACAAAAATCAGTTTAAATGTTTAAATAACTCTGAAACGCTAACAACATGATGATTATTGGTTTTAACGATCTGTGTATTTCACACTTTTCGGTGGTTTGATACAAAACTTATTGTCAAATACTAAGTAATAAATAGAATTGAAAAACTTTCTAACAGCAATTATAATATTTATGAATACGTTCACATTTTCTGGATTGAAATTAAAGCTGGGGAAAAAAGATCTGGATACAACGATAATGTGTAAATCAAGGCTTTGAATGAGATGAAAATTCATCTTACAGAGTTAAAACTGAGTTTTATCCTAAAATTGAAGACTGATATAAAAAAGGAATGCGAAATATTCTATTTATACAGAGGCTGTTCGCACATTTTTTAGACGATTTTGGTAAGCGATAATAAAAAATCGTTTGCTGCAAAAGAAGTAATTGCAATGCACTAAGTTTCTAAAAGTCAAATTATCGTCTGTTTCTTAAAAGTTTTGTTTTTATTCAAAATGGCGAATATAACAAAGCAGTGGTTCGAAGGCTACATTTACGCTCTTTCCGAAGAGAAATATGCATACCCCGTTATCCAAAAAACGATGTGAGAGTCATGGTTTTGTGATATCTAAAGCGTCGATAGGTAATATAATCAACACGAAAGGAAAAAACATCTAATTTGAGCCTCAAGTGGGACAAATATTCCAAACAAGTATCCAAGGAAAAAACGGACATCTTCGACTATTGCAAAGGTACGTTGTTTAATGTTAAAATAAAATCCTTTAGTCAAAGGACAGTTGCAAAATCATTCAAATGCTTGGTGTCCACTGTAAACAAAATGATAAACGTTGATTTAAATCTTAAGAAAGCGAAAAAACGCAATGTGCATCGTCTTCTTCCAAAGCATATCGCTCAACGCAGGACACGCTGCAGAATTCTATATGAGAAACACTTATCCAAAGAAAAATGGAAAACAATTGTCACAATAGATGAAGCATGGGTGTATTTAAATGACTGTAACAAAAAAGAACCATTTATTATCATAAAAGGGGAGAAAAAAATTTAAGTGCATGCTTCAAAGAATCGAAAGGAAGTTTTTCTAAGGGATTCATGATTGTTGCTGGTTTTTCTTATAATGGCAAGTTAAAAATAAAGAGAGTGCAAAAAATGTCAAGATTAACTCCAAATACTATCAGGAACATATTTTATCGCCAATTTTTCTGAATGAAATATCATCGCTTTACCCACAGTGCCATCCATCTGTGAGACTCCATCAGGACAAAGCTAGCAGTCACACATCGAAATCCACTGTAAATTTCCTAAAAGAAATGGAACAAAAACTGGTATCAAGGCCATACCCTTCCCTGATATCCCTACTAAATCTCCCGATGGATGACCTACGGATTTTTGTGCTTTCGGACTTTTAACAACTGCATTATCCAAACGTTGTCCCAAAACCCTAACAGGACTCTGAAAAGCTGTTCGGGAGGAATGGGATAGAATATCACTTCTGCCACTTCAAAAGGCATTATTATCCTGGAAATTGCGGTGTCGAAAGATAGTTCAGAATAAGGGATGTCAAAAATAACATTTAAAACGCAAGAATTTTATGTAATTTAGTTTTGTGAATACAATATACATCGTCTAAAAAATGTGTGAACAACCTCTGTAGATAAGAATATATGGCGTTTATATAAGAAATTTAAATATTGCGTTCATATTTTTAACAAAATCAACATTAAAAACTGTAAAATTTAAGGCTGCTACTCACTAGAAGATACTTAAATGTGTATGTTCACAATTTTGAATAATAAAGGTCTTTTTTTCACTTAATGTCATCATCTGTGCTTGTAAAATATAAATGTGTTAGATGATATTGTTTTATCTGGACATTTTATGTAATTTCCTGACTTAAATATTGCTCCCTACCACTCACAAGAGCACTTAAAAACAACTTAAAATACTTCTAGTGTTGAAGAAGGCCTTCGACATGTTCGACAAAGAAAAGAAGGGATCCATCAACACCTCTATGGTCTCCACCATTCTGAGGACACTAGGACAGACGTTCGTAGAAAGCGAGCTAAAAGAACTAATACAAGAAATAGACGTAGACGGTAAGTATTGATTTTTTACAGCAAGTTTATAAGTAGGATTTTATTAACCAATATTTAATTACTTATATATTATAAATTCGCTACAGTGTATATTTATTTTAGTATTTATTCTTTATAAATACTTCATTTTTACACCTAAGTTATATCGAACAATTAGGGAAGTAGATTTTTCAATGTGTATACACTCTACTAATTTTCTTATAGTATGTTAAGGTCTTCAATTTATCCTATATTATTGAAATTTATATAAACACAGTTCATAATAAAATCAGTTCAAAGTTCATTTAGTAAGGCATATATTAGTCTTGTATGGTTTTAAGGGCTGAAGCTGAATATGCATTAATTTTTTTGGCAAATATAGGTATTTTATTAACCTTTATCTCTATACATAAACACATTTTATTAACCTTCATTTCTAGATATAAATAAAGTTCATAATGCATTGTTTAAAATCAGTTCAAAGCTCATTTATTAAGTCTGTATGATTTTAAGGGCTGAAGCTCAAGCTGCATTAAAATTTTTAAAGGGAAATATAGGTATTTTATTGACCTTTATTTTCCTAGATTTAAACATAGTTCATAATACATTGTTTAAAATCAGTTCAAAGCTCATTTATTAAGTCTGTATGATTTTAAGGGCTGGAGCTCAAGTTGCATTAAAATTTTTAAAGGGAAATATAGGTATTTTATTGACCTTTATTTTCCTAGATTTAAACATAGTTCATAATACATTGCTTAAAATCAGTTCAAAGTTCATTTATTAAGTATGTATGATTTTAAAGGCTGAAGGTCAAGCTGCATTAAATGTTTATGTTTTAAAAGGAAATGTAGGTATTTTATGGTATGCAATGTATCAGTTAAACAATAGTTGATAGATGATAGTAGAAGAAAACACCTGTGCTTTACCGTGGGTTCACCAAGTGCTATCCTTTGACTGTAACTTTCTGTAAGTTAGATGTTCATTTAAGGTTTAATACTTCTCTAACATTAATATTTGAACGAAATTGTGAGAACGACTTCATAGCATATGTAAGGCTTTTGTATTTATAATGATACAATTCCTGCTTTAATGAGTTCTTTCATAGAATGTAGCTTATAAGAGGATCTTATATTTGGACGTTAATGACTTAATATGCGTTTTGAGTGCAAAAAGACCTGAAAGAGGAACTGATAATGTAATGGAGTTTTTCTTCAAATGGAAAAATTCTTCGTTAGGGATGACCAAAGTTTGTGCCTGTGTTTGCTACTATATTAAATATTTTATGTTGTTTTTCTGTAATATTCTCTTTTCATAAGGAAGGCTACATATTTGTGATTTATTTGTGGTACGAATGGGGAGATCTTTTATTGTTGGGGATTTGAATAGATAATGCGGACCATCTTCTAATTCGCTGCAGATGCAAGTATCTCTTGGTGAAATGCATCTAGAGTAAACATTGGTAAAAAAATTGACCATGGCCTGATAGAATTCAGTTTTTTTGGGGGGAGTAGTTAGCTATAAATCTATCGATGTCTCAATTTGGAAATATACTGAAAGTCGCCCTTCCCATTCATATGACATCTCATTCCTGCTGTCATGCTGTCACTACTGTTTACTTCAGACTGGAAGTGGCATTAGCAAAAGACTAATTGCATAGATCTTATATGTGCCTCTCCTACAGAAAATGCTATCTTTCAAAAGGGCATTTTAACAATACTTGTTCTGGTGTTTAGCTTATGTACACCATAATCTGGAAAATACTATATGCTTTATCTGAAAATTATGATGGAAGAGTTTTTACAATTCATTTTACACCTACTGTATTGCAATCAACAATGTTAAGATTTGAATTTCTAAATATCCTTGTACTCAATGTTTTCTAATCATTATACTGAAAAACACTGCTTCTAAATTGCATGAGTGGTTTTACATGTGGCACAAAATAACTTCTCATAAACTTTGTTTTCATAAAAATAACAGAAAACTCATTAAGAAAATTGTATGAATTTCACCAATAACGTAAACTTACAATAACTTATAAACTCTGTAAAATAAATATAAATATATAAATATACTAGCAGCTACGCTGCCAGCATTCGTCTGGCTTTGAAATGTACCGGAAAATGCCTGAAGGGAATACCAAACGTTAAATTTAAAAACTGCGCAGAATTTTCCTCTGCAGAACAACTTCATAAAAAAATGTATTACATATAACAGAATTACGATGAAATAAACAATATCCCCTAATACAAATATTAATTATCCTAATAAATAAATTAACCAAATTCTCTTTGCGTTCTCTCGACAAATGTTTAGTACCCGAGAGAAACATTAAATTTAAAAACTGCACTGACTTATCGACCTCATTTTTCCAAGTGGCAACAGTGCTGATTTTCAACAGTCAACAATCCAGTATACAACTGAATGTAAAACTGTTTCCAAAACCACATTTCTATAAGAATGAAACTATTCAAAATGATCGAAAATATAAAGTAAAAAAAACTGGTTCGAATTTTGAAAAACTCGCTCTTGTCTAGATCCCCTATATACCAAATTTTGTAGCCCTGGGTCTATTAGCTTACGCGCAGTACGAACGAAGGCCACACATACTTTTTCTTTTATTATATGTAGAGATTTATCATTTAAGAAGTATTTTAACAGTTAAGAAAATTCTCAAGATTTCTTTAAAAGCATTCTCCCGATTTTATCGTTTGGTATGCTGGTATTTTTAATTACAATAAAATTTCAAGCTTCAAATTCTTAATTATAACTTTGATTGTAAAATAAGTTTCAATTAAATTAGAGTATTTTTATCTTAATCATAATAAATATATAATAACTATATCCCTTAATACAAACATTAATTATCCTAATAAAATATTAACCAACTTTCCGTTGAAGAAAAAAAAAATCATGCAAAACTTTTCAGTATCTTACAAACAGTGAAATAAGGAAAAAATAACATGAAAGAAACTCAAAAAACAAAAAATTCCGCGCAGAATTTTACTCTGCAGAACAATTTTATCCAAAAAATCAATAAAAATGTATTATATATATAAAAAAATGGCATTGAAATATGCCGATCTCTTAAAAACAGTGACGTAAGAAATACAATGAAAAATTGTTGCCAAACCCATATTTCTAAAAGAATGAAACTATTCAAAATGACGCGATTTCATTAAAAATCTATCAACAACAATAAGAAAGGAAAATTGTTGCCAAAATCCCATTTTTAAAGATGTGAGATGTGAGAAGTGTACTCTGAAGCTTAATTTAAAAGAAATTTTTTTAAATACAAAATATTGTCATTTTTCCAAAATTCTTTTTGTAGAAGCAGCCGCAAGGATGGACGTTTAACGTGTCCAAAAATCAAAGAAAAATAAACTGTACATTTTTAAAAATAAACTTTTTTAGAAAAAATCCCATTGAAAAGGTGTTAAGCTCCCTTTGTTAAATAAATTCGTATTAAATCGATTTATTGAAACGCGAAATTTATTTTAAGTTCGTAAAATAGCTAAGTGCCTACGTTTCATGAAGATGTGAAAATGGAGTGCGTAGAGTAAAATCTCGCTTTCCTATAGCCCATTATGTCTCAAAATGACGCGATTTCGTCACAAAACATAAAATTAAAAAAAATCGAATTCGAATTTCGAAAAAAATCGCTTCGAGGTGCATTGGCTCTTGTCTAGATGCACCTATGTACCAAATTTCGTCGCCGTGGGTCTATTAGCTTACGCACAGCGCGAACGAAAGGCACACACAGACTCTTCCTTTTATTATATGTAGAGAAAAAGTAAGAAATTTAGAAATAATATTTCACAAAGACCAGAAATTGAAATTTGTTATTAATAAATTTCATATAATCATATAAATGTAACAAAGAATTTAAAAATGTTAAAACCAAAACATTTCAAACAAGCAACACTCCAAAAATTTATAAAATTTAAAGAAAATTTTTTAAAAAAACAGAAGAGGAATTCAATCAACCTCAATGACATTTCATCGGGGAGAGGAACTTTAAAATTAATAGAAATCTCTCTTCTATTTCGTTTTTAGTTCTTTTAAAAAGGGAGAATTCTCTTTATTTAAGATTATTCTTATTTTACTAATTAGAATTTACTTTGTTTTTTTTTTCCTTGCTTTGGTGAAGGGCCATTATTTTCGGGTGAACTATTATAATTTTAATTAAAATACACTGAAATGGTTCATCGGTTAATTCCAAATACAGAAAAGCAAGAACTTTTGTAGAAGAGAGATTTCAATTTCAAAGTTCCTCCCCCCCTTATGAAGGGACATTGAAGTTGACTAAATTCCTCTTCTGTTTTGTTCGTCTTCCTTTAAATTTCATAATTTTTTTAAGTGGGATTTTCTTGTTTGAAATGTTTTGGTTTTAACATTTTTTAATTCTTTGTTGCATTTATACGATTATTTGAAATTTATTAATAATGAATTTCAATTGCTGGTCTTTGTGAAATATTAGTTCTAAATTTCTTACTTTATATCTTTAATGATAATTTTCTGCAGCTTAATGCGCGAAAATAACTCGGCATTTTTGTGTTTTGTTTTCAAAAGAATTGTTTTGTAAATATATAAATATAAATATATAAATAATAAATAATAATAATAAATATATAATAGCTTACTAACTTACTTTCATAATTACTTTCATAATTACTTTTCATAATTACTTTCCTAATTACTTTTCATAATTACTTTCATAAGGTTCAAGAGTTTCTTAACTGTAGTTTGTTACAGGTAGCGGTGAGCTAGAGTTTGACGAGTTCTTGGCTCTAACCGCGAGGTTCTTGGTGGAAGAAGACTCGGAAGCCATGCAGGAGGAGTTAAGGGAAGCGTTCCGTATGTACGACAAAGAAGGGAACGGGTATATTCACGTTCGAGACTTACGAGAGATCCTGAGAGCTCTCGATGACAAGCTGACAGAGGATGAGTTGGACGAGATGATTGCAGAAATCGACACTGACGGCTCCGGTACCGTCGATTTCGACGGTAAGTACTTTTAGTTTTTATTTTTAAGGATTTTAAGTTTTACTAACGTTTATTTTCTTTTAAAACTTTATTGTCCCCTCTTAGTTTCCACTTCCGGCCAGAATAGGCTCGGTTAGTTTAGTCGGGGGTCGACGTAGAGAACTCTGCGAAGCTACTGGCTAGGATTTGTACCTCGGCAGTCTCGGCCACGGGGGTATACAATTTATGAACTTGGTGGTTCTGAAGGCCCTGGGAAAGTTCACTTATTGGCCGGCCTCGTGGTCTGGCACATCCTACAGCGGCGTGGCTCTAGTAGCCCGGAGGTAGCGTTCCCGGGTTCGCTGGGTAATGTCCCGCTGCGACGGGCAGCCTGAGCCACTGGCAGGTAGCAAATCAAACGACCAGCGCAGCCTGTCAAAAAGACAGGTGGTGCGCCGCTCTCCTGGAGGGGGCAATAGCGGAGGCTGAACCTCTGCAAATTGTTCTAAAGGGAGGATGGACCTGTAATGTTGTTTAGTCTAACGAGGCAGGGAAGCCGATAATTAGTTAGTTAGTTAGTTATGCAAATTGAGCTTGCAAACTGTTAAGTATTTGAAAGGAAAAAAGATCTTCAGTTAAACTAGTCGCTACACGGTCAGCCTTTGTTTGGCTTTTGAATGTACCGTAAAAATGCCTAAAGGGAACACCAAACATTAAATTTAATAACTACACAGAATTTTACTCTGCAGAACTATCAAAAAAAAGTTTAATAAAAAAAAAAAAAAAAAAAAACAAAAAAAAAAAAAAAAAAAAAAAAAAAAAAACAAAAAAAAAAAAAAAAAAAAAAAAAAAAAAAAAAAAAAAAAAATAAAAAAAAAAAAAAAAATGTATTCATTAAAAACATTACAATGAAATAAGGAATATCCATTAATACAAATATTAATTATCCTCATAAATAAATTAACCAACTTTGCAATCTTAAGAATTCAAATGGTATAAAGGAAGTTAAGAACCTAGTTTTCTACAATAAATTATGCAAAACTTTTTATATAACTAAAATTATATATAATTAAAACATAATGTAAAAAAATACAATGAAATAAAGAATAAATCTCATATTTTTAAGAGAAAACAGTCAGAAGTCCAGTATCCAAAGCAATGAATGAAAAACTGTCGTCAAAAGCATATTTGTAAAAAAATGAAACTGTCACCAGAAAGCAATAACCAATCAAAATTGCGCTTCATGGATGACATAATTCAAAATATACAAAGCTCTTTGCCATTCGTTAACAAAGTGAGAGAGAGGGGGGGCAAAAAAAAGAAATTCTTTCTGTTGTGCCTTGCGAGACACATGCGCTCAGAATACGAAGTTTGCGATGTGTGTGTTGCACTTCCAAAAATCAAAAGAAAATAAGCAGCATGAAATAAACATTATCCCTTAATAGTAATATTAATTATCCTAATTAATAAATTAACCAACTTCCCGTTGCAAAAAAAAAAATCATGCTAAACTTTTCAGTATCTTAAAAACAGTTAAATAAGCAATACATATTTTATCTCATATTTTCAACAGTCAGCAGTCCAGTATACAAAGCATTGACTGAAAAACTGTTGCCAAAACCACATTCCTAAAAGAATAAAACTATTCAAAATTATGTGATTTCATCCAAAAAGATAAAATTTAAAAAAAATCTGATTCGAATTTTGAGAAAGTCGCTTCGAGGTGCACTGGCTCTTGTCTAGATGCACCTATGTACCAAATTTCGTAGCCCTGGGTCTATTACGTTAGGCGTATAACGAACGAAAGATACACACACACAGGCAGACTCTTTCTTTTATATGTAGAGATAAAATAAATTTCATTGTGAATTTAATTTGTTTTCGAAAGTTACGCTTTTTATCGTACTTCTTTTTTAATAACAATTAAGAGTTCGTGTGTATTAACTTACCCGTTTATCTTTGCAGAGTTCATGGAAATGATGACTGGTGATTGAAATGTATCATATTCTTTAAATCGTTGGATGTGTGGATCAGAGAATAACCATCAGCAGAGAGCGGATAAATCAACCGACAACAAAGACAGAACATTGTTTGCAGAGAAGAACGATCTAACAAGAAATAAAATACAGAACTTCATAATAACAAAAATCAAAGCTAACTTTGCACCCTTTCATGTTACATGTTTCAATCTATTTATTTTTTTCTCTTCCAAAATTTAAAACTGTTATTTCTTTGAAAGAACATTCTGTTTTTAATAAAAGTAAATAAAAATAAATATTCTGTTTTTTATTCAAGAACAGTGAGTCAGAAAATATTTCTTACTTCTTAGTCAGCATTCTTACATCTACATACCAGTTCTAACTAAAATAAAATAAAATATGTGTATATTTTCTTAAATTATTTTTTTACGAATTATAACATATTCTGCTTCGTAATTATAAGAAGAAATTTTTCAATTAACGTGTTTTAGGAAGTTTCTTATCATTTATGCTATTAGAATAAAAGTAAGTCTATCGAAATATATGCTAAAGGCACTGATAATAAACAACATGAATTGGCGTAACTTAATTAAATTTGCAAAATTATAGTTTCAAAGGTTAAATAGAAAACCTTTTTCTTCAACCGGTGGAAATCAAAAGAACAAAAAAGAAAGATTTGCCTAAGTGAAAACAGCCCATGAGCGGCCGAGTGGTGAACTCAGTAAACACTGGTAGTTCGGTCCGAGGCTGAATCCCAGAGAACAGACTGGCTGCAAGGCTTTTTAATGTTTTCTCCATATGTAACGTGTATACGAGCCACTCTGTCTTAGCAAATCCTTCACGAAGGCATCCATCCCCTTATGGATATAGCTGTTCAGTGCTTTGCCATCATCAAATGAACCAAACCAAACCTAAGTGAAAACAAACAGGAATTTGAAAACGTCTAGCTAAGCGAGATATAAAAAATCCTCCGACGCCATCTAGTGACTGAAAATAGAACGAAACATAACTGAGATGCAGAAAGAGCGATTTGAATTAGAATCATCAACAAAATCGAATGATTTTATGAATATGAAACGGCTCCACAAATCTAATTCAGAAAAGACTTTTTTTTTTTTTTTTTTTTTTTTGTATGTGTTTGGTTTTAGAAAAACGGAAAGAATGACTGACATTTTTACCAGCAATCAAAGGGTAATAAAAAATTTATAGATTTTAGTTGTTTTTATAAATATAAATTTCCCGCTTTTTCAGTGCAAAATTTCGGGGTTTTCCTGGTACTCAAAGGTAAAGGATTTTGATAGAAATAAAAGCTAAACCAGGTGATTAAAACCATTTGTGTAATTATTTAATATAAATCACAATATTTTTCACTTGATTGATCTCAAAATATTGAACTTGAAGACAAGTTTAAAGAAACTGGAATATGACTGAAATATGATCTTCGCTGTTTTGACGGTGTATAGTCAGTCGCCTTTGACAGAAATGAAAACCATACATCTTGATTTCGCAAGAATTTTCCAAACAGTTCAAACAAATTTGCAACCTGTGAACGTTATAGAAGTTATAGAGTCTTCGTGTATTCTTTGGGATCATACACACTTAAAGCCTATGTCGAAGATTAAGTAGCGAATTCTCGCTATGTCTTTAAGAACAAATACTGCAGAAATGAGGTTTAAATAACCTTTTTATTTAAATCTAAATTAAAACAGATGCACGCATTTCTTGCTCACAAATCACCACCACTTGTGGCTACGTAACAGAAAATAAGAATGTAACAGTTCAATTGTAAATTAAGATAATCTAATGACTGGCTCCTTAGCTTAACTAACGCTAAATCGTCTGCACACAGCAAAGCCGAGGAGAGAAATATGAGTATAAACTGAAAAGGTGTCGAACACCGAACTAGAGAGCTAATTTTAAACTCTCAGCATAAACATCAGAACTAAGTCCGCTTTTACTCTATTGAACTCTTGAAACGCAGCTTAAATACTGCTTCTGGAATACATTTAAAATTTACATCTATGTCACACAAAATTTACTTTCCGGCAGGAAACTAAAATTAGAAGAAACAGGAAAGTCAAACTAAAAATAATTGGTTAGAATAAAGTAAAAACTTACAAAGTGATAGCAAGGATCTAAATCAGTATAACTGGTGAGATTAACATAATGGAACCTTACAAATTAAGTTTGTCTCTTGATTAAGCATTTCCTTCTTCAAACAGTTTGAACGTCGAAAGATAAATCAACCATCTTGTTATTTGCAAGATTACAACCTAATTGTTTTAATATGTTTTACCTAAATTACAGCTTCGTTTAAGGAAATAAATATAATGCAGTTTCTTTTGAAAACTCTTTCATGAAGGTATCCCTTCGTTACTAAAATAACTCTCACATGCTTTGGCTTAATTTAATCAATCACCAATCTCAGTGAACTGCCCGATTTACTGCACTTTCTTTGTTCATCACAGTTTTTTTTTTTTTTTTTTTTTTTTTTTTTTTTTTCGCTTCTCTAGACATAAAGCTTTGACATGTATTTCAGTAATGTCTCTCTACCACTCAGCTTCATCTTGAAACTCCTCATTCTTTCATGTCCATGGCGATATTAATAACTTACAATTGATTTAGTTCTGTAGTCTCATTTTACGGCAGGACTAAAGTTTATTACTTGCACTTTCAAGCACTTCGCGATTAATACCATTTTTAAATACTTCTTCATTATATTTTCATCTGGAGTGATCCGTTTCTTTTAGGCCAAAGGAGCAATTTACCCATAAGGGCTATTAATTTCGTTTTGGCATTTTGCGTTGATTCATTATAAACTGCGAATCACTTTCTAAATTGCTGCTACCAATTATTAGATCTCTGTATTGCATTTAAAGAAATTAAATACAGAATAATCTGCATAAATGCATGCATGTTTCTCCCACTGTGATAAAACAACGGTACCTAGAAACATCCAATTTTGAATACCGTAGTCCTCCACTCGAATATGGGTATCTGGTAGACCAAATTTGGAATTGGTCTTATTATCTATCTACTTCATATTTTGTAAAACGTTAACGAATTTTCAATTAACAAGCTCAACGATTTCAAAGCGAGCAATGGAAGCACTGTACGGGGGGGCGGGGGAGTCATACTTTATGACATTGTTGTTGAATTCAATTTTATGGTTTAAATACGAAGAAAGTGGTATTTAATAAATAAAGACAGCACACTAAACTTTAAAAAACCCTTTGGGCGTATTATAGAATGTGAAAGCCTTTCAGGTCTGTTTTTTTAATGTCATCGATTACACCGATCAAAGTAATTTTCCTAATTAGCTCATTTGCATGTTCTGTTGAATCAGTAAATGCCATTATATCAATCATTGTAAGTCTCTGATGAATAAGATATTTTAGAGACTCACAGATTGTGATTTACGAGTTTTGATGAATAATTAATTAGCATTAATGACGTGTTCCATGGCATGGGTAATTTGCTATGGCTTATATCAGCTCAAATTATAAAGTGAAAAATTTACTATATGTAATTATTTAGAATGAGGAATTATTTAGAATTAAAATTGAGGAAATAAGCATGTTACCAATTATACTTTTTAGACAAAACACATTTAATCATTTAGGAATGATTTAACTTTTGTTTTCGCTTAAAAATTCAATTTACTGTTACAGAAAGAACTGGGGATATGAGGTTTTGCATATAACCTTGTTTGTGTTCTCAGGAAGATTAGTCCTTTTCAGAAATGGTCGTCGTGACTGTGTTCATCATAATTCTTTCTCAGACAGTTATACATCATAGTTAAATATAAGGTTTCATTTAGGCTCACCAGCAGCCGAACGTTAAAGTCGCTAGATACTGGTAGTTCGGTCCGAGATTCGAATCCCGAAACGGGCGGGATGCATGGGCTCTTTCGGATTTTCCCCGTGTGTTACGTGTATACGAACCAGTTTCCCTTAGAAAGTCCTGAACGAAGGCATCCTCCCTTAGCAGATAGCCCACGAAGCTTTGTCATAATCAAATACACACACACACACATAGGAGGTAACGGTGGGCGCCTATTAGGTGCCTACACAACAAAATGGCCACCATTTCTGGCCTTAAGAGTGGCCAGTGCCGTTATAGGCAAGTGCCCACCATTCTAAGGGAAAAAAAACCTTTTTTTAATGTATCGCGTAAACTTTAGCTAATAATTCAAATTTGTATTTTAAATTGCTAAAGTACATTTTCTTTTCCTATGTTGAAAATGTTTACCTATTTACAATAAACATCGAAAGTTTTGGAATGTTTCTTAAAATAAAAAATAAAAATTTTTAAAAAAAAGGAAAAAGAAAGAAAACGCGAAAACCATTTTGCACCCAATAAGTAACTTCCAATCTGTAAAATAATAATAATAAAACTAAAGTGGTTGCGTTAATACATAAGTACCTAAAGGTTTTCCTAACGTATAGCAAATATCATTTCCCTCAAATAAGAAATATATCCGTGAATTTGGGACGTTTCCTCTGTAATTCTTTAGAATTCTGGTATAATTATGATACTTACATTTTAATTTTTATTATAATTGTTTTAGATTTAAATAATTCCTTTTTAACTTTCCGTTATAACTTAACAAAAAATACAGCAAAATAATCCTATTCCAAAATCTGCTTAGTTGGTTTGTTTCATTATGGCAAAGCACTCGAGGGCTATCCGTCATAAACCAAACCGAAACCATTTAGTTTCGCTGAGCAATTATTTTGCGTTAATTTGCTTTTCTGGCCGTCTCGTTTCCCCTTTTCTTGCCAGAATGTACATTTCTAGCTCGCGTGAGTTTAAATGAGGTAGAAAAGAGATAGTATTTTAAAAAAGGTTTAGAGGATAGAAGCAGAGCATGTTTCGCCCGCTGAAGGCCACGTTGCTGATTTTTTTTATCTTGAAACCAAACCAAACTATTATTATTATAAACGATCCGTCCACCTCCGTGTTTCTGATGCCGCAGAACATTAGTCGTTTAGTCTCCTGGCAACTAAACGAGATGATTGCATAAGGCTTCGGAGAAAATTTCCATGCATCGGAGAGTAAGAGTTATCTTTCTTTAGAAAGTATGAACGCGTTTCTCGTGGTGCCATGCAGTGGTGTAGTTAGGGTGGGGCAAGAGGGAACATCAGTCCCCAGGGGCAGCATTCAGGGGGCGCCAAATTGATGTTATGAAATTTTAGAATGAAATGTTTCCCATTCTTGGCATGCAGAAAGAGGCGCAAAATCTCCAGTTGTCCCCGGGCGCTGATAACCCTAGCTACGCCTCTGGTGTCATGGTAACCCTACAGTCTT